TAGTCCCTTCAGCGTGTTGACCAATCATAGTTTACCCAAATTACGCCCACATGTCAATCTGACCAATCATAGTTTACCCAAACTACGCCCACTTGTCAAGTTGACCAATCATAGTTTACCCAAATTACGCCCACATGTCAATCTGACCAATCATAGTTTACCCAAACTACGCCCACTTGTCAAGTTGACCAATCATAGTTTACCCAAATTACGCCCACATGTCAATCTGACCAATCATAGTTTACCCAAACTACGCCCACTTGTCAATCTGACCAATCATAGTTTACCCAAATTACGCCCACATGTCAATCTGACCAATCATAGTTTACCCTAACTACGCCCATGTGTCAATCTGACCAATCATATTTTATTAAAACTATGCCCACATGTCAGTCTGACCAATCATACTTTACCCAAACTACGCCCACATGCCAATCCGACCAATCATATTTTACCCAAACTACGCCCATGTCAATCCAATCAATCATAGTTTACCCAAACTACACTTACATATCAATCTGATCAATCATAGTTTACCCAAACTATGCCCACGTCAATACGACCGATCATAGTTTACCCAAACTACGCCCACATGTCAATCTGACCAATCATAGTTTACCCTAACTACGCCCACATGTCAATCTGACCAATCATAGTTTACCCTAACTACGCCCATGTGTCAATCTGACCAATCATATTTTATTAAAACTATGCCCACATGTCATTCTGACCAATCATACTTTACCCAAACTACGCCCACATGCCAGTCTGACCACTCATACTTTACCCAAACTACGCCCACATGCCAATCCGACCAATCATATTTTACCCAAACTACGCCCACACAGCAATCCAACCAATCGTGGTTTACACAAACACACACCCATATGCTTATCTAACCAGTCATGGATTGCCCAGACTATGCTCACACATCAATCGAACAATCGTGGCTTACMCAAACTAAACCCACACCCAAGAAACTTCCACTTATTGACTGCAGAGACATMTTTTACCTGCTATGGCAATAAACCTTAACCTCAGGTGCTCAGGTGCAGGAATCAGGTGCTGCATCCCACCACATCCACCAGGTTGGAGGAATAAAATAGTTTTAAATTGCAGTTTATGTCCATTTTAATTCTGAGTTGATGTCTTTTAAACAAGATTATTGACAAGAAAGAGGAAGACCACCAGTTTTCTCACAACTAGAGTAACTATATCACTTAAAAAGCAATATGGCATCAAATCATGAACATATATTCACTGTACATGACAATTCTGTTGGATTTTGTGAAGGCGTCTCAGAGAGCCTATCAGTATCTGATCAGTGAATCTTGTTTTTCTAAGGCAGAGAATTCTGCAAACCTAAAAGTGCCTATTTGTAATTCATCTTTTTTTTCTTTTCTTGTGTTGGTAAAACATACAGGGGATTGTTGCTTATTTGTTTGCAACAGATTTGTGCAAAGTAACAACAGCGTGTGCAGTCCCCCTCCTGCGTCTACCCTCCCTTCATAAGAACTATGTAATTTTGTTTCTGACAACAATCAGAGAGAAAGGTGAAAGTGTGCTTTTTGTTTTGAAAAACACTATTTTTGTCTCAGGGATGAGAGAGGAGCTGAGGGAGAGGATTGATGGATGGTGATGATAACAAACATCCCGCTCAAAAATTAATAGGGATAGATGTTAGACAGGAAGATAAACAAATAGGAGCGGAATAGAATGAAAGAGAAAAAAGGAAGAGAGATGGCTGGATGACACAATGATAAATGCACTGTGTGGCGGCAGGGGGTAGATGTGAATAAAGGGGTGATAAAGAACAACAGAAAGCAACACAGAGGGACGGTATTTATTTTTGTAATCACTATTTGTGCATGAAGTGGAAAATAATTACCTATTTTAAATTCTTCATCAAGAGTAATACATTGGCTGGTGGAAGCTAATGATTTAAGATGTCCCATTACACAAGATAATGCAAGTCTTGCTCTCAAGTGTGTCATACAGTCTTTCACTGAACACGTGGACTCATATTAACCAACCATTCCTGTTATTATAACTTCTCTTTTTTTATTTCATTTTCATTTTTTCATTTATTTCATGTGTTTTACATTTGTATTATCAGAATCAGTTTTATTGCCATTGTCAATGAACAGGAGTCACAGACTAGGAATTTGCTTAAGGTGCAATGAGTATAAAATATAACAAATAAATAAAATACAAAAGATAAAGGAAAAAATACAATAAAATATATAAAACATATGTACACCAGTTCAATACAGTAATAGTAACAGTATTAGTTTATCGTTAACCACAAATATCAGTTTGTTTTGTTAGTTGGAACAAAAGTGTGCATAGTGTGTGTACACTAGTAATGTAACATCAGTTAAATATATCTTGCACAGTTTGATTACACTCTATGTGTGGGTCTAAGAAAATATTGCACTTTTTTTCCCTGTGCCATAAAAACAACTCTTTATGGTGCTTTTGTGCTTTTGCTTGTCAACTCATGAGTGGGTGTTTGTTTAATAGGGGAAAAGCTTACTTGCGTGATCTTGAGTATTTTAAACACAAATAGTATCAGCTGTACAGCAGTTCAACGCTTTAAAAATACTCTGTTGTGTGAGTTGTGTTATTGGGGTTTTAAAAGAGCYAAATCATGCTTTTAAATCTTTATTTTTCATATTTAAATCATTCAGTTGGGGTTTATATAAAATGGAATCCCTCCTACATGTAACTCCACAAGCCCCTCTTTCAGCCCTTTTCTAAGGTGTGTCTCAGATCAACTCGTTTTGATGCTGTCTCTTTAACCCTAAAAGAGGCGATTTACACCCTGCCCCCCCTCCAGCTTCCGGACCGGTTCATTCTAGTTTGCTGGGGGATTTTACGTCTGTATAGTAGCACAGAGCCACAGTCTGACCCAGAGCCAGAGGAGAATGAAGATAGTGAAATTGTAATTGTAATTGGTAATTCCAGACCTTATTTGGCAGTTCCATCACAAGTACTGTGATTTAATAGTTGAGAAAACGCAGTGTTGTATAAAGTATCTAAACGTGATACTTGAGTAAAAGTACAAGTATCTTATCATAAAAATACTTTGGTAAAAGTTAGTCTTCTCTAAGAATATTACTTGAGTAAAAGTCTTAAAGTATTTGATATTTTTTGTACTTAAGTATCAAAAGTAAATTTCTGACACAAAATCTACTTAAGTATTAAAAGTAAAAGTATTGAGTAAAAGTGAGCAGTTACAATTTTCCTAAACGACATTAATTGGGAGGTGACTTCTCAAAAAAAATTTTTTCTAAAGGCATGCAGCTGTGATGGACTGTGTTCAAAGTAATACAGTGTCAGAATTGTATATATTTATACTTCTCATCCAACCACAGTTAAATTTACTCTATCCAGGAGCCACAATTTAGCAGGATAGTATTTTTTTAAATAATAAAAACATGGAATAAAACAGGAGAAAC